CGCGGACAGTTCGAAGCAGCATCGTCGACTAGATCAAGCAATAGCGGTAAGGATAGACGATGGTATTTAACCGATGGCATTGTCGGAGATGAACGTGCGGAGAGGGCATTTGGGGATGACGTTATTGCTGTGAACGGACTTTGCATGAAAGGACAAATGCGATTCAACATCACGAGCAGGCTGACTTCTGACAGAACAACACAACTTGCAAATTCACTTAAATCAAAGCTCGAAGATATCATTCGCGACCGTTTTTCTGCTAAGCCACCTATTGAAATAGATTATTCAAATGATTTCGAGCAACCATTTGTTTTATTAAATGCCGATTCCGATAATATATTGTTCATTTTGCCACCTGGCGACGGTGGGGCTGAAAGCTACTTTAATAATATTGTGCCACATTTATCATCATATAAACTGGTAATATTCAACAATTATTATTATAATCTTAAAGAAAAAAATATGAAAAAAGGCGCCTCATTCGAAGCATTAGCTCGTTTATACATAAAGTATATAAAACTAATTCAACTCAACGGCCCATATAACTTTTTGGGTTGGAGTTTCGGCGGAGTTTTATCATTTGAGATTGCCCGCCAATTAAATAACGCTGGTGATCCCGTTGCTAATATACTCATGATTGACTCGTATTTTAACATGAGTAAGGCTTATTTGGAAATCGGAAAAATGAATTCAGTGGATGAAGTCAATCAAATTAGCTATTCATATTTACCACAGATAGACAACGAGGCGTTTGGATTAAATATAGCCAATATGAATATAAAAATTGTATTATTTAAAGCTAACTTGGTGAAGGAGGGCTATTTGTTGAACGATCAATTAGAATTTTTTAAATACTATATCAATACAACATTTAATTGCCTAGATACATTAGTGAATCATAAATATATTCAACTATTTCAAATGTATGATGATAGTCACTTTTCTTGGGTATCTAATAAAGAGCAAATCGTCAAAATATGCAACTATGTAGCAAGTATATTAAAATAGTAGATAGAGAAAATAGGTAAGGTAGTTTGATAATCAGTTAACTTATTAAAAAAAGAAAGGAAAACTTTTAATTTATTTTAGTGTTGCTCGTCATCAAGCACCTTATTTTGAAATCATCAATATACGTTTGTCGTACAAACTGGCCATTCTATTTTAATTCGTTTCTTCAGCTTTTTTTTTAGTTATGCTTTTTTTGTTCAAAAATACCAATAAGTATCGGTATTTTCATTTATCAAACACTATAAACAAGACTAAATAATAATAAATAAAATATTGGACTTAATCATTTCTTTCCTTTTTATATTTTTAATTTGAAACGAGTCAGTTTCTGAGGCAGAGATGCCGAATCTTTCTCATGTGTCCCCGCTTGGGGGAAGAAAATCTGTTGGAAAATTACATTATTCGGACAAATTTTTTTTAAAAAGAGTAGTTGATTATTCTTATGCAGAAATAATCTATCTTTTTTGCATAAAAAACACTCTCTCGTAATGTAATTGAAAAAACTATAGTTTTTTTTCTTTTTGTACAGTTTATTGAGTAGTTTCAGTCAAATTGTTATTTAACTTCCTCAGAAAAATACAAATAAGATATATTTACAAAAAACGAAAAACTTTGACTTTAACATGAAAATTATAGAGAAAATAAGAAGCTCTATTGGGTCTAAGGGCCCTAAAAGAGTCTTGATGGATCATATAGTGGGAAACGAGGAAATAATGAGGGCCGAACGGGCCACCAGGAGAACCCGTTTGTTCTTGTTGAGGATGACTACAAGGCCTGATAAGACGACTTGTTATAGGAAGAATTAGAAAGGTTTTCTTTACAGGGTAAACCATAGATGGAATGCCACTAATAAGAGTAATGGCTACCTCTTTTCTTTCTCATATATGTATATAACTTTTATAAGAAAAGGGGCTTTTTTCCGAAAAAGGGTGTGGGTGTGAAAAATAACCACAATACATGTTTTTTTAGAATGAGATTGGGATTCTGGTGAAGAGTTTAAGAACAGTTAAATGAATTTGATAGATATTACTCCTTATCGTGTAAGTTAGACTCCGTTATAGGACGCCATCTTTCATGATATATACCGTCTTGAATCTAAGTGGCTCTTTTCTGATGACCCATGAATGTAGAAAGAGGAAGAGAAAGAAAAAATGTTTTATTTTTTGATAGGTAATAAATGAAATATTTCTTGTTGGCTATTAGCCATTACAAACTATGAAAAATTGATCAGTATGAGAGAGGAAAATGTTTAAAATGAAAAATATCTCTGAGAATGATTTTTTATGTACACGATGTAAGCAATAAATATATAAACACTAATCAAAATTAAAAAAAAGGAATTTAGAAATGAAGCTCAATTTTTATCAATGACTCGAACGATGCAAGGAAAAAATTAGAATTTATTCTTGGTTCAATTAAAAATATTTTATCGAAATTCTATAGATATACTGTATGATATTCGAGATAGTATTTAAAAAAAAAATTTTAGTTAACATACCTGTTATTTGTTGGATAAGGGAGCAGTATTCGATGAAAATTTTTAGTGGAGAGGGAGAAAAGTAGAAATATACTTTTCGATTTCGAGGAAATGATGTACATTAGCTGGTGAGAATCCATCTTTTATAGTCTTATCCGGAGAGTGAATTGAAAAAAAGATAGAAGAAAAAACAAGAATTTATTATTTTCGATTGGATGCTATTCGAAATTGAACATTTGTATTGGACGAAAAATGAATTTACTACGGAGAAAAAATCTAGTAAATACAAGAGAGTGATTGAGAGAAATTATGAAAAAAGAGAGATAATTGTTTGATTGATAATGATCAATCCATCAATGAAGATGATGGATAAAAGAAAGATGTTACAGTGCTTTTCACACGTTCGAACATTATCCCATTTCTTGAGATGTTCAATTTCATTGTCTATGATAGAATCATTTCCGGTTATGATTATAAATACATCGAACAATACAACTCTTTTAATATCAAGAGAACAATAGTTTCAAAAGAAATAACTTTTAGAGTAAGTTACGATCATAGAATGACATTTTACTCTTTTATGTTTCATTCAATTTCAATATTTTTCATCCGTGAATAAATAAAGATGATTATCAACTGAAAGAGGATAAAAAAAGAATATTGAAGTGAACTACATTATCATTTATTTTGATGACGAAATCTTCTTTTTACAAGTGAATTTTAAAAAATATCTTTGATTATAAGATAAATTCTTGTTTTTTTTTATTCCAAAACATGACGTTTAGAGAGAGAGAGATAGAGATAATATTTTTCAAAAAGAAAGTTTACTCTTTTATCTATAGAATTTTTCTCAACAAGAATAATTTTGAGTATAATTTTTCTTTAATTATTATAGAGTAAATTATTTTTGAATTATTGAAATTCATTTATTCTTTGTTTATTTATAGATTATAGAAACGAAACAGTCAAGAATTTCGTGTGTCTTTTATAAATATATGAAAATAGATTTATTATAAGAAGATGGTAAATATTTTCTTTATTTTTGTTTTGTTAAATATTCCATAAATAATAAATGAAATGATAAGCTATAATTGAATCTTTTTTTAAATTTTATTATTATTATGTGAAAGACAAAGAAGGAAAACGAAAACGAAAAAACCAACCAAAGAAAAGAGAGACAACAAATAAAAATGAAACTCATTTGACAAAACAGAAATATGGAAATGAGTGCCATGTATATCCAAACGCGAATGATATTTCAACATATTCATATGGATCGATTTATCAACCACTATTAATCGAATTTCTTTTGTTTCTAGAAAGAAAAAGACAATGGATGACCCTATTTCAATCAAACGAAATGATTTACACGAAATAATTCTACTCATTTAGTTTCATGCACTAATATTAGACCATATATTTTATCAATAAAAAATTCAAAATTACAGTGCTTACCCTAGTCAAACATCTTTTGGGATGCGCATGACATATTTGATGATCTGGAGCAAGAAAGTCATTCGCTATGGGCAAATCTTGAGTCAAGACTTGAGGTCTTTTTTAGAGCTCAAGTGCTGAACTTTCTTATTATATTGCTTAGTATTCTTGCTCATGCGCTTGAGTTTTTGTTCATGCGCGTGTAATGTACTTGGATGTTCAAATATTTTTTCTAGAACTTAACTATTTCTCCGATCTAGATGTCAGTAGCCCTTAGTTGCTTCACATGGTCAACGTATAAGCAGTATGAATTAATAAAGAAATAGTATGATTGGTTTTATTGTGATAAATAACGACAAAGTATTATCTACGAAAGAATTAATAAGAAATAAATGATTTGCTATGTTAGATAGTGTACAACAATTGTTTGTTCAGAAACCAAAATATAAACAAGAATATAGTATATCCAGATTTATCTTTCTAAGTTTCCGATGTGTTATAAAAAATTTCTATTTTTTCGTTTTAGATGTCCGAAAAGATCCTTCGGCGACGTCTTCACTCAAAATATAAACGAAATTGGCGTTATGAGACGCAGAACAAAGCACTGCACGAAGTTTTGAGTATGGTATGTGTCAATATGTCCTAACGTTTCTTTTATAATATTTGTTTTATTTATTCTAGGCAGACGTTTTAGAGACATCAAGTACGGAAGAAGAAGAAGAAACTAATTTACATGATGATCAACCAACAGTCGTGAATTCATTGTTCAACGACCATTTATCTGTGTACTCGGTTTCTGTAGACTCAGACACAGACTCTGAATCTGAAATTCTCAAAAATGAATCTAATATTAATTGTAGCGACAATGAAGTTGATGAAAGCGACTGTTATTTTGAAGATTTTATGGATGAAATGGACATGCATAATAATAATCGCACAACTCCACTTTATGCTGGTAGTCCTATATCTGTTCATGATGCATGTGTTCGATTGATACGTTTGGCGCATTCGCTATCTCGACAAAAGTAAAACTTCATTTTTATTAAAAGAACTTCGAAATTTTTTTCCATCGGATTGCCGCCTACCTAAAACCATTTTTACACTATTTTAAATAACAAATAATGACTATTGTCCGCAGGTTTGTTTATAATATTCGTTTGTGTATTTTAATATGTACATTATACTTTTATAGGTTTCTATCCGGTGCGTGGAATGCGGAGAAATTTTAGCACAATCAAATGATGAAAATTGCTCAATGACTTGTATTCATAATGGAAAATCTCGATCGTATGATACAATTGCTGAATTAACTATTATGACGTTGAGTATGAAATTAAACGAGTTGCTGAACGTTACATGGATCTTATCAATGACTATCCGAGAAAAGCTGAACAGCTCGTTCCTTGCGATATTATTAATGGTATGACGCTTAATTGTAAAATATTAAATTGTCTTTTTTTTTTAGGTAAAATATATCGTCAAATGTCTAGTAATAAAAAACAATGTAACATAGCAATCATATTGCATGCAGATGGAGCGCCTGCTGTCAACATGAACAGTAAATATCATTGCAAGACCTGATAAAAAAAATTATTTAACACTTCTCTTTAATGCTTTGCCGAATCTTTTTTCCATACGTTCTACAATTAGGTTGTTAGCTCTCGTTTTGGGGATTATGTAGCAATGGTAGAACTAATATTTAGTCTGCCAAAAATAGAGAGCTAAACATGTTTTAATAATCGACTTTGTCGTCGAATCCTATATAGAATATATTAAGTATCGAGTATTCGATAAGATAGAACATCAACAACTGCGTAATAGCCAACGAAAATCAATCACGAGGATTAGTCATAGTCGAAAATATTACGTAACAAATCAAAATAGAGATCATAACAACAGATAACACGAATAAACGTTTAGCGTCAGTGAGTGCCATCTACTGGCGCTAACATAGGTTTACTTGATTTTCAAATAAGATTATTCGAGCAGAAGAAAATTGATTTGAAAATATCGATCTTTATGAATCCGTTTAAATACAAGTTCTATTTTTTTTAAATAATTATAGTCGCAATAAATAAAGCATTTCAAAGCTGGTGCATCATTCCAACATGTTTACTATATTATTCTTTTCATTTAGATAAATCTCTGTGGCCGATTCAAGCAGCAATCGCCGAAATTCCAGTGCCACTACGAGACTGGAAGCCTGCAGTTATGCTTTTTGGTGCGTGGCTTGCATCAACCAAACCACCACGTGATTCTTTATTGATACCAATAATCATACAGCTACAAGCCCTTATGAACTCAAAGATTCTATTGAAACAAAAAGATGGTAAAATTGTCTTCTATCAATATTATCTAAAAAACGGCATATTAGGTTCTCGTGTATCGTATAATGTTCGTATACAACAAGCAATTTTCGATTTACCAGCATGTGCTCATTTTTTGAATGTTGTACAATACAATGGATACGATGGTTGTGACGATTGCTGTATAAAAGGTATGTATTAGTTTTTCATAGACTTTTTTTTATCTTCTCCATATGTTCAGGAGTATAGCGATTGGTCGACAGATTTATTTTCCATTTTCTGAAAAGACTGAGGAGCCAAAAAACTATCAACTTTACTTGAAAAATTCTAAACATAATGCTCATCGATCAATTCAAGGAATAAAAGGTCCTACACCGTTGTCGTCAATATTACAGCTTCCAAATCAAACTCCGTATGATTTAATGCACCTGATTTATCATGTTCATGTAAAAGCATTATTGAAGTTCTGGCGAAAAATGTTTGGTAAAGAAATATTTGAAAATGGTTCGGTCTTTTTATCGAACGTTATTCTTCCGCATGATGTCAAATATCAATTTCATTCTTTATTGGATTTTTCTAATTGGAAAGCTAAAATGTTGAGAGATTTCTTTTTGTATGTTTCTCCATCATTCGTTGTTTATTATCTGCCTGATGATTATTCCGCTCATTTTCTTTTGTATTACGCATTCGTTAGGACTCTTTACTTTTTTAACGATAATAAGCAACTAGATGGGGTTGATCATTTGTTTCATTTGTATCACAAATCTCTTTCTCGTTTGTATTCGGAACGTTCTGAACTGGCAACGGTACATTATCATTCTCATTTGGCTTCTCAAGTTCATTCACATGATGCTTTATGCTTTACGTCTTGTTTTTCTCGAGAATCATATCTTGCGTATGCTTTAAAATTGTGCAAGGGAACAACACATGTTTTGAATCAACTCGTTACGTGGTATGAAATTTCTCAAAATACTCAAAATACTCAAAATCCAAGTTCTTTTTCGCTTTCTGATATTTTCTCAAAAGAAACTTGTTCTGTTGCGTTTGTTGATAATAGTTTCATTATATCTATTTATCGCAATTTTAGAGACTGTTTACAAGCTTTTTCTACATCTGAATCTGACTGTGTTTTCTTTTCTCGATATTACCGTGGTCTCGTTTGTTTTCATTCAATATGTTATTCAAGTCGAGGTCATTCTATTAGTCATTTTGTTTCTGCTCGATTCGCATCATGCATTAGAGATGATACTTGCTTCGCATCTATTTTGTTCTTTTTTTCGTTGAAGAATCAATATTATGCATTTGTTAAGCTTTATCCATGTCTTGCACGAAGTCTAATATCAAAATTAAAAAGACCCGTCGTACCTTCGGTGAAAAGATTGATTGATTCAAATTTTAAATTTTTTGATGAGAAAATTTTCTTTTTTAAAATATTGCCTGTATCTGCTCTTCTGAAAAAGGTTATAAAAATTCCGACTATGGAAAAAAATGTTTGTTCGTTTACTTGCGTTGATTTTGAGTTTGAACATGACTAAACAGTATACGCTTAAATTTCTCGGTTATCATTCGATTGTAACAGCTCCTGGTTTTTTAAAATGGTTATGATTCTTTTATTTGTTTTAGATTTAAAAAATAATCCAATGGAACGAACAGCAAGAATAAGAAAGCCTACCCCATGTAAACACGAAACGCAGAATCGATGCGTTGAAACGCGGAAAACGGTTTTATAATGCGTTCCAATGAGTTTTCAGTATGAAACGCATTGAGACGCAATTAGAAAATTTTTGAAACGCATCTGAACGCAGTTTTTTAACACAACGAATTTAAACGTAATTTGAAATCAATATTAACCGCGTCTCATTGCGTTTCATGTTGAAATCGCGTTTATACGCAGTTAGTCAAATTCGACTGAATGCGTTCAAACGCAGTGTAATATAAGACGCGTTTGAGCGTGTTTCGAAAAACTATAAGATGCGTTTGAGCGCGTTTTCGAACAAATATGAAACGCATTTGGACGCGCTTTTGTTAAAAATCGCGTTGGCGTGCAACTAATGACATCAGATTCTTTAAGATGCTCAATATAAGTGAATAGATCAAGTAAATTTAAGAAAAGAATATCTGATAAATATTCAGATAGAAAATATTCATAGCCTACATAAACCCAGAAATAGGTATCGTTAAGATTATTAAATCTATACATTTGCTTTCCATTCATTTAAATAAAAGTACTTTTATATATTGATATATTTACACTGCTTGTATATTCGTGAGAGCGCTTTGTAAGAGTATCCAGCCCTAGACTTGGTCACGTTCGACAGTAATATGAGACACGAAAATCTATCAAGTTGCTGTTCTATTCTATTTGTATATTATCTGGTATTTGTAACTTTTATACATTACATTATTATTATCTTACATAGTCAACTTTGGTCATTTCCAAGATGAAAGGTCGCATCGTATTAATGAAACTTATTTAAGATTGTTAATATGACGAATAGATTTTTGGAAAATAAATATTAGATTTTTCTTAGCTGAACTTTGCTATCAAAGCTCTTTATCTTTTATCTATTATTTTGACGACTTCAAATGATCACTATTAAGTAGTTTCATGCATAAATCTAGATCTTTTTTTCAATTGATATCAGTCATTATTGAAAGCTCTCATTTCAGTTACATTGATAATTATATTAAGAGAAAATAACGAGGATATATTTAATAAAATAAAGTCAGCTGATATTAAACGTCGAACTAGGATAGTAACGCTGGTGATTTCGTGTAAAAAAAACATCATTATACACCCTGCCTTAAATGGAAAAGGTTGTCCCATGAAGTTTTCGAAATTAAAAAAAATATTAAATAAAAGTTACTTTTGTGAAAATACTTTTATCTACCAAATATGTATATTTGCAATTAATAATTGCGTAAAAATTATATTTTTTTCTACATTACTATCATTTATACATTTGTAAGTTTTATATGAATTCATAACCCTCATAGACTTTGCATGCCATTCGACAACGATTGTAGTCATATATGGCTGCGCGGTACGTATACTTGTCTCTTAATCATTGGTTCACATGTTCTAATCTCATTTCAATCATTTCAGATTCATCGACATGTCGATATGCTAACAGTTCGTTGACCTACAGTAGGGTAAAGATCATGGATAGAGAATATCGATGGTGACTCAGATCAAACCTGAGACGAACTGAAATAATTTTTTCAATAATTTTTAATAAATTGTATGAAACGCGTCTAGACGCAGTTTTTTTTGAAGACGCGTCCCCTGTGAAACATTCGAAGCGTTCAGACGCGTTTTTATTTCAAAACACGTTTTCCCTTGACTTTGCAAAAAACCGCGTCTGAACGAGATTTTACCTTCAGTCGCGTCAAAACGCTTCGTTTGTTTCACTGGAGACGCATTTAGACGCGTTCGCTTCTGTGCGTTTCGCACGCAAATGGAACGCGTTTCAGACGCGTTTCGAGACAAAAAATATTTACATGGGTATGGCTAATCGAAAACGAAAACGACAATCTTCCTTTAACATTGATTGAAGGTATTACCGATAAGTGGGAATATGAGCTTATTAATTTTGCAAATCAATCACGTGATCATACTGTATCAATGATTTTTCTTCAATGTCGATATGACTCTCAAGGCCGACATCAACTTTTTGGTGTGATTAACCATGTGGCACTGGATGGTTTAGGCTTTGTAGAAGCACTTCATACACTTCTTACTTATCTGGGTCAAATGTGTGATTGTGAAGATTGTAAAACGGTATCGTTAATTGATCGACATCCATTTATCGATGTACTTGGACGAAATCCGACGAGTGAACAACCGGTCTTTAATTTTACTCATGAGTATTTGTCGCCACAAGGACCGGACCCTGGTGAAGTCAACACCCAACATGCATCATCGGCAGACCGACGAATGATTGGTTTGTTTAAAAAATTTGATCATATAACTACAAAAAATCTTATTGCTTTTGGAAAAATCCATTCGACCACAGTGCAAGGCATGTTGAGCATCGCCAGTATGATCACATCGATTTGGATTAGGAAAATGCGACCTCAATTTCCGATATGGGTGTTAAACTGGTGCGTGTCAAATCTGCGTCCGCTTGCTAAGCCCACCATCGATCCTAAATATTGTGTTTTAGCAACTGCACCATTAGCTTGGGAGCACGAAGTAAACGAAAATGCATCTGTCTGGTCACTTGCTCAGGAAGCATCAGAAAAACTTCATAAACACAATAAGGAAAATATGGGTTGGGATTTTTTAAATGCTACAAAATTTGGTATGCGCGTCAAACTTCCGACTACCATGACAACGTCAGTTGGAATACTACGAATTAGAACAGAATATGGAAGAGTGAAAGTCAACGATTTACGCGTAATGGGTGCTAATTATGATCACGTACCGAACAATGCATCATCACATATGAACTATGTCTACATACAGGGTGGACAGCTAAATTTAGTCACTACCTTCACATATCCTGATCTAGGCTATCAGTGGGGAGAACGATTTCATAATGGAGTTATTTATATATTAGAATGTTTTTCAAGAAACTCAAATTTTACTGTTAATTCAATTTTCGAGTCACTGGGTGGCCAAAAACCCTGTGCGAGTACTTTTAAGTAAGTTGAATAGCTTTGGTAACGATTGAACTTTACATGTTCAGCGGAATCTATCGATATAATCAGATCTGAAATAGAACATATTTCTATTATTTTAGTTAACCAATACTGAGCAGCATTGGAACTTAACGACTACTATAACAATAGTGAACCAATCTCCGTACTGATTCACACAACCAGCTTTTGACAACGTATTGTTGTGTTTCAAAGAAAGCTATGTGTAATTTACGATTTTTTGTTTTGTTTTTTGTTTACCTATCGATCACAAAAGGATAATAATATTTCTTAGCCGTGTGGCATCTCACAGAAAAGTGAATGATTGAAAAAATTTATTGCAAATTTTGAATGAACATGATTACTATGTGAGAAGTCCACGAAAAATAAAATTTATATCGTTGCACTTTTAGATCCACAAAGTTATCACTTTAATTACTTTTATAATTTTTTACTATTTTCTCCTTTTCTTATTCGTTGATATCAAGATATAGAGGATAAAAATGTAGCATTATACTGTGCGTGAAGACGTATTTAATGTTATATTTTTAGCTATTCAGACTGTTTAAGTGAAGGGTTTTAAACCATTGAAATGTTTACGGCTTGTCTTTTGTTGAAGATGGTGTCCAATGCCCAAACATTTACACGCTTTTGTTTTTTCGTAGTGAGAAAGTTGCTTCTGTTGTATTTTTACTATTTGCTGTTTTCGATTGGTTGCATGTTTTTAAGGGTGTGGGTGTGGGTGTGGGCGTTTGCCTTCTTATCACACTCACACCCTCGTCCACACCCTTACTTGCGCTGATGAAATATAGCCTACATATCCACTTTTCCATAAAAATGCCCCGAAATTCTAGACTCTTCTTATGAATGTTTTTTCTTCAATTCAAAAATGCCTTTCGACTCCTCCATGAGATTCAGCATCAAAAGTTGACTATGGAACGGTATTTTGCATCATTCGTACAGCGCTTTAGCTGAGCTATCTTGCGTTTACTATGTATCTCTACATGTACCGAGAAATTGACCTGGAAGTCTAGAATTTTGATAATGAAAGCTAATTTTTTTTAACAGTAATGTTTTCTGAAGTGGATTAGCTGGTTGATGGAGAAAAAACTTTTCCAAAACGGTGGTTGAGTCTCCATGGATTTGCCCTATGTTAAAAAATGTACAAGGTAGTAAAAGAAACTGATGAGTCAATTTGATTCGCCTCTCTTGACAACATACATCAAGTTTTCTGGTAATTTATAAGAAAAATAAACATACATCAAAATCCCTCATTGGTACCATTTTCATATAATCATACGGTCATTTTAAGGAGATATTTTTAAATCGAAAAAAGTTGTCTTAGATGTTCAATTATGTTTGGTGGAAAACGTCGAAAAGGAAAATGCCAAAAGAAACAGTAGGAAGACATTAAAATGAAAAATATAGGAGCATTCAGTATCCAAGCGGAAAATATCGAAAATGTAAATGTGTAGGTGTTGATCGAGAAGACAAGAAAACGCACGGCCGCACCAAAAAAAAACAGAAGAAGTTAACATGCAAAACACAACAATGAATGAAAGAATATGGAATGAGAGATCTCATATACTCCCTTCAGTTCCTATACGTATGCCCAAGTGAGCAAAAAATAGAGAGAACGGGCGACATGACTAGGCCGAAAAGTCTGCTATACCCATGAAGTCTAGTCTAATACGTCATCCATATTTATTGTGACTAGTCCGTATGTCCTTTTACGCGTCTGGACTGGTCCAAGCTATTCCAGAGTATCGCTCCAACGAGTCGGTTTGTCCACTTACCCTCATCTAGACTAGTCCAATATATTCTAAAACATCATCGTAACTAATCCGTATGTCCTTTTACCCGTCTAGGCTGGTCTGTTTATTCATTTACCCCCATCTGGACTAGTCCATAGCAGGGGAAAATATTGTAAAACAGGGAGAAGAAAGTTAGATTCGAACATTAGAGACACTTATAATACTATTAAAAATCAGACTGGCATCTTGACGGCAGTCCATAATACAGTAAGCCTTATGTCGATCTTGGTGAAAAATGTCGAAAAGGAAAATGTCGCAAGAGAAAAATGACGAAAGAAAATAGAAAAAGGAAAATGTCGAAAGTGTAAGTAATTTATGAGAAAGAGATGTAGATGAAAATTTGAAAAGAAAAATGTCGAAACGACGAATTCATAGCCTTGATCCATAATGAATACTGTTTTAATAATAATAAAAAAGAAGAGATAATAGAAAATATAATAAAATGTTATTTTTTTTCTTTCCAATTAATAATATATTTCTTTCCACAAAATTTTCTTTATTCAATGTAAAATACCATATGCCGGACGAAGAGATGCCAATGAAAAGAAAAAAAATCAATTTTACAACTGACCTCTTTCAATATATTCGATATTTTTCTCTTTCACAATCTATTGGATATTTTTATTTCTGTGTTTCGACGTTTTCCTCTTCGATATTTTCCTTTTCGACATTTTCCACCAACCCCCTTATGTCTATGTATATATTCTAAAACGCAAATGGGTGTCTTCCATATACCATGCGTGCAGAAGTCTCTTGATAGAAACTGATTCTCACTACCCGAAAATGCCTTTAATGGTAACTAGAAGGACTGTTCCTAGGCTAATAAAAACTGTTGTATGTTCGTAAAGATTATTCTATTTTTTAAGTACACCGTCAGTCCGCATTCTGAATTATCTAAATATTAGGAGGAAAAAAATTGTTGAATAAAATGCCCTGCTGAATTGCTAAATTAATCACTAAAACAAGACAAAATCATAAGATAAAATAACCACAGTTTTCAATTTATTTTATTCAATTTCGTCTGAATAATTTTTGAATTTATAAAAAGAAAGATTTTTTATTCATATGAAAAATTGAATAAAACTTAGAAAAAAATCGTATTTTAAAGCTTCTTAGAATGACTAGAAATACTGATAAATGGATCGCTCGATCAAATGGCTCAATGATCTGAACGATGGGTAAGTAATAGTTGGTATGTGTGTTCGAATCTAACTGTAGTCATAAAATATTTCAGTTTAGACTAGTCAGGATCTCGTCATTATATAAGGCCACAACTCGTCATGTAAAACGTCATGGACGCTCTTACGTTTATTTAGAATCATATTTCTGACGGGCGTCAGGATGGTACAGCATGTCTAGACTTTTTTCGAAAAAGACTACGCATAACAAATAGAATGACTCCAGTCACGTTCATAGTCCGGACGGGCACTATGGACTATACGAGATTTCAGACTTGTCATGCACTAGGACTTTTTGAGAAAAAGACCAGACTAGACGGGGCGACTTGTCTAGAAAAAACGACTAGTCTTTTTACTAGTCTTTTGGTCACCTGGGTGGGTGGCTTCATCAGAGACCATCAGCTGGTGTATATACACCTGCCACTCGACTAACATGATGGAATGCATTGTCTCAACGTTCATTGGCTAAGCAGGCACCTTCTCGTCGGCGATAAAAATTGATGCAATTGGGCTCGATACTATTCTGGCTACAAAGCATTTTGCACATACCGTATCAATTCCACGAATTCAAAATGTTATTTTGTGAAGAATTGAAGAGAAATTCATCAACAGTCATGCCACACATACATAGACAGATGACCATGACCATGAGTACGATTGTTGTTCGAATCATTGTTGCATTGGTTGAAGATTGTAAGAAAAAAATATTTTGTTGTAATAAATTTTACTTCTCAATGATGTGATTGCAGAGGAAACCGAGCATTTGCATTTGCATTTATATATCTAAATAAGCTGATCGTATTATCTCTACACTGAGTTTCATATTTTGCGGAAGTGCTCATTGGTTCTTTCCGAAGAAAACATGAGTCGAAAAGACCACATTCCTCAATCACTCCACTTATTGGGAAAGTGTACAATGATGTAAATGTCTTTTTCTTTGTTTCTTCTCCATACCATAGATTGCATCATATGCTGAAAGAAATATATGTAGGTCATCACTACGCTCCAAAGAGAAATTTGATAATAAAATATCATGTGACAAAGGAGATAGTTTTATTACTTCCTCCTTATTACTTAACTGAGGAAGTGCCACATACAGAACTGATAAGCAAAGCGTTTAGAGAGGAAGCGTTGTTCTATATAAATAGTAGGCTTCTTCTTCAACTTCATTACTCTTCATACGATTCGAACAATCAAATCCAATTTCATTCAAAGTAAATTCAGCGAGAACAAATGGAATTACTTCGTAAAGCAGTCGGTGATAGTTGGTTGAAACCAGCTGGATATGATGCTGCTAATATGACAAGAGCAGTAAGTGAAGAATAATGGAAAAGTATGGACGCAGCATTCAATGATCTTACTGGTGGTTACATGCTAATTGAAACATCGAAAGAAGATATGGCCAAAATTGAAAAATTACTAAACGTGAAGCCAGGTTTTCTTGGAACAAGTGTTATGATCAAAACAAGAGAAAGATGTTGTCAGAAATGTGGACGAGAAAATAACTTTTTAGATGTAGTTTCCACTGGTCTGCGTATACATAAGGCAGACTTTCTGGCAGATGTTTTATCAGGCAAATATGGGCCAATATTGAATACACATCAAACACAACTTTGTTTCTGCTTTGATTGTGGTGAAGAATTGCCTGAACAGGCAGCAAAATATTCTTCACCAAAAGTTAATGAATCTGGCAAACATTCGTCGGAGTACAGATGGGTGTGGCGATTCTAGATTCATATCAATGAATCACAAACAAGAAGAAGAAATATTTTACATTATTTTATTTCATTTTAATTACTAAATAAACGAGATATGCATATCAAACGAAATAAATAAATAAATAAAACATTGAGACAACATCTCATTCGAAAATAATAGAAGCGAAGTGATAATCATTCGCTTTAACACCGATGCTCTAGATATTGATAATAGCTTGATACTCATCAATACGCTCCTTTTTCTAGTATGAAGTTTCCTGATTAAACCTTCAGGAAATATTACTATACTTTGAGTAAATACTTTCTCATGCTGTCAGTTGCATCTGTAAATCTGTCAATAATTAGTGTTCGAAGGATTTTCGGCACACTGATATCTTCTTAGTAAATGGATACATTTTCATGAAAATTGGTCCCAAAGAATATTACCAGACATAAAATTTTTCTTATTCAAATAGCCTCAAAATATATAATACAATCGATCGGGATTCGTTATAAGAGCCAGTCCGCGTAAGCCACACCTGAACCTGCTCAATCGAGGTCGTCCGATTCTGCTTAATTTAATATATTTTGCGGAGCAATGAATTCTACGAACTTCTACGAAAGCCGTTTTGAAAAATATTGAACCCTCGAATTTTTATGACCATTTTATGAAAAGCCCCGAAAATGAACACTTTCATCATGGGGATCTTCTTAGTGCAATATCTTGTGATTGGCTTTATGGATTGAGCTGAAATTTTTTGTCCCGAAATATTGAACTATTGAAATTTTACCCATTGCTCAATATGACCGAAAATTAACAATTTCGGTAACTTTGACCGTATATAGTGTTTGAATAGAACGTCATTGTAACGAATTTTGTTTGATGATGGTGTGGGTGTGGGTATGAGTGTCGATGTGGGGGTATATCTCTCGATGAACATCCACACCCACACCGTACGATTGTAACCCCTCCACATCAGCTTACAATTATTTAATAAACACATTCACACTCGTACAACACAGTCTCCACTCTCTCCTATTTGAAAATAATTTTATAGTTAGTTTTTGAACTATCTCAAGTCCTTTGACTTCTATAAAGTTTTCTCCTCAATATTAAGGTAAATAATGTTTTGAATACTTAGCTGAAAAGTATGTAGCGCTTTGATATCAAACTTACCTGATGATGACTGTCTAAGCAACAATCGAAACGCGTCGTATGCAGCTTGAAATCGAACTATTCAAACAAACCCACCATTTTTAGCACCGTCAAAAATAGAGTGGGTATAACAGAAATTCGTTTAAATTCAAAAAAATTGTACAGCATTTCAAGTTTTCAGAAGCACGGGTTTACTCATATTGAACCTCATCTGTGATACAAATCTCCAATCCTATACCGCAATCAGATTTTACATAAACGCGAACACCGCTAGTGAAATCCATCGTAAAATGCATGGCAAAGTGTTTTCTGGAGTGTAGACTGCAAATAGGAAACTAGACATTTGCTTTCCGGCCGACACCGCAAAAAAATCCGGACGGCGAAACACCCCGCCACGGAAAATTCAGACCCGAAAGAAGCGAAATCGGGGAAACCGACAACGGGACTACCTGCACAGAGAATCTCGCTCTCACCCGATGCCGGTGCATGCCTAGTGCGCCCATTTACCTCAGTGCATAAAAAACACATTTACGCATTTAGTACATAAAGGTTTCACACTCGCTCGTACGGAGGACCACGAGTGCACCCTACCGATCTCTAAGCGAATTCGATTTTCAAACATCAAACGCATTTCATCGTCTCCTCCCTACTTCCACACCAATCTAACTCATACGCTACTACGTAAAAAAAGGTACTATCAATTTAAAAAACTAATTTTTATTATTATCCTCACACAAGCAACTGCCATATTCATATTCATTGAGCACTTCCAAGCTAATGTTGCGACTCGGTCAGCCGACGGAAGAGCACATGGCAAAGGAACGGTACAAAATAGAGTTTTGTTCTCCTCTTTTACTGACTTTGAAGCAGCGGTTGCGACGCGGTCAGCTGATGAAAGACCACATGGCAGATGAACACTATAAAAGAGTCTTCTATTCACCTCTTTTATTTTCTTCGAAGAAGAGGTTACGACTCTCACAGCTGGTCGAAGATCACATGGGAAAGGAACAGTCGACAAAAGAGTTCTTTTCACTTCTTCGGCTCAATTTGAAGCAACGGTTGCGACTCACTTAGCTGATCGAAGAGCATCTGCCAAAGGAACAGTTCCTAGTAAAGTTCTGTTCAATTCTTTCGTTCCCTTTCAAGCCAAGGCTTCCACTGGGTCAGCTTATGGTAGAACACATAAGAAAAGAACACTCGATATAAGAGTTCTGTTCAGCTATTTTGCTCGCTTCTAAGCAAAGGTTGCGGCTCGCTCTGTTGATCAAAAAGTACCTGGAAAAATAAATATTCCTATAACAGTTCTGTTCCCCAGTTCGGTTTATTTCGAAGCAAAGTTTCCAACCTCGTGCGTTGATAGAAGATCACATGCCAAAAGAAAACTTCCTATCACAGTTCTATTCACCTAATTTGCTCACTTAGAAGCAAAGGTTGCAACTCGCTCACCTGATCGAAGATCACATAGCAAAAGAAAATTTGTTATAACAGTTATGTTCACCACAGTTACTCACCTCCAATCAAAAGTTGGGACTGTGTGTGCTAATCAAAAAGCATATGGCAAACGAAAATTGAGCATCAGCGTTCTGCTCACCTATTTTGCAAACTTTGAAGCGAAGGTTGCGCCTCAGTCGGCTAAGGAAAGATCGCATGCCAAAGAAAGATTTTCTATCAAAGTTCTGTTCTACTCTTTCGCTCACTTCAAAGCATAGGTTCCAACGTTGTCAGATAATCGAAGATGAAATGCCATAGGACAATTTCTTATCACAGTTCTTTTCTCCTGTTTTTCTCGATTCCAAGCGACGCTTGCGACTGGGTCAGCTAATCGCATACAACATGCCAAACGAACACTCTAAACCAGACTCCGGTTCACCTCTTCTTCTCTCTTCAATGGAAAGGTTTCGACTCCGTCACCTCATCGAAGATCACATGATTAAGGAAAATTTGTAATAAGAGTCCCGTTCACCTCTTTTTCTCACTTTGAAGCAACGGTTGCGACTCGATCAGTTGATCGAAGATCACATGCAGCGGAACATTCCCTACAAGAGTTCTATTCTCCTCCTTTTCTCACTTCGGAGCAAGGGCTTCCACTCCGTCACCTGATCGAAGATCATATAGCAAAGAAACATTTCCTATCAGACTTCTGTTCACATGTTTTCCTCACTTCGAACCCGACGTTGCCGCTTAATCAACTCATCGAAGATCACACGGCAATGGGGGATTTCATAGTAGAGCTCTGTTCACCTAGTTTCGCCACTTCGAAGCCGGGGTTGTGACTCGATCAGGTGATCGAACATCACTTGGGAAAGGTAAACTTCTGAGTAGAGTCCTATTCACCTATTTTGCTCACGTCGACGCAAAGGTTCCGACTCGCTCAGTTGACCAAAGACCACGTGGGAGAAGAACACTATAAAAGAGCCTGCTCTTCACCTCTTTTGCTCACTTTGACGCAGAGCTTGCGACTCCGTCAGCTTGTCGAAGAGCACATGCTAAAGGAGCACTCATCATGAGATTTCTGTTCACCTGTTTTGCTCACTTCGAAGAAAAGGTTTCGACTCGGGCAGCTAATCGAAGAGCACATGCGAACGAAAAATTTCTTATAAGAGTTCTATTCATCTGTCTGGCTCACCTCGAAGCAAAGGTTCCGACTCGCTCACCTGATCGAAGATCACATGGCCAAGGAAAATGTCTTATCACCAGAATTATGTTCAGCTATTTTGCTTACGCCCAAGCAAAGGTTGCAACTCCGGCAGTTAATCGAAGCTCGCATCCCACAGGAAGTTTTGTCATAAGAGTTCTGTTCACCTGTTTCACTCACTTCGACGCCAAGTTTGCGACTCGGCCAGCTGATCGAACGTGACAGGATAAAGCAATACGTGTCATGAGAGTTCTGCTCAGCTGTTCTGATCACTTCAAAGAAAAGGTTGCCACTTGGTTAGGTGATCGAAGACAGCATGCGAAGGGAACACTCCACACCACAATGCCGGTCACCTCTTTTGCTCACTTCGAAGGATAGGTTGCTACTCGGTCAGCCGATGGAAGACCACATGGCAGAAGAATACTATACAAGAGACTTCTGTTGATCTATTTTGCTAACTTCAAAGCAGAGGTTGCGACTCGGTTAGCTGATCGAAGATCAAATGGCAGAAGAACATTATAAAACAAAGTATTGTTCAGCTCTTTTGTTCACTTCGAAGCAAAGCTTGCGACTCGCTGAGCTTGTCGAAGAGCACATTGCAAAGGAACACTCATCATGAGAGTTCTGTTCACCTCTTCAGCTCAATTCGAAGCAAAGTTTGTGACTCGGTCAGCTGATCGAAGATCAGATGGGAAAGTAAATTTTCCTAGAAGAGTTCTGTTCACCTTTTAAATCACTTCGAAGCAAAGATTGCTACTCGGTCAGCCGATGGAAGATCACATGGCAGAAGAACGCTATAAAGTAAAGTACTGTTTAGCTCTTCTGCTCTCTTCGAAGCAGAGGTTGCGACTGAGTTATCTGATCTTCGATCAGATACCAGAAGAACACTATAAAATAAGATACTGTTCAGCTCTTTTGTTTACTTCGAAACAAAGATTGCGACTCGGTCAGCTGATGAAAGATCACATGCCAAAGAAACATTTTCTACCAAGGTGCTGTTCAACTCTTTCACTCACTTCGAAGCATAGTTTCTAACGCGGTCAGATAATCGAAGATGAAATGGCAGAGGACAATTTCTTATGACAGTTCTTTCCCCCCGTCTTCCTCACTCCCAAGCGACGCTTGCGACTGGGTCAACTAGCCGAAGACAACAAGCCAAACGAACACCCTAAAGCAGACTCCGGTTCACCTCTTTTCCTCACGTCGAAGGAAAGGTTTCGACTCCGTCAGCTCATCGAAGATC